AGAAAATAAATGGTTTTATTAGAAATATCAAACTGAATCTTGGGTATTTTGTAAAAGTAAATGTTTTGATAAGTTAATGTGATACCTCAGACTCGTATCCGGGTCAGGTACGGGTTGGGGTGTTATATTTAATGGTATCAGAGCAAAGGTCTAGCCGATTCTAGGCTTAAACCGAATGTAAAGGAGTTTTAAAAATGTGTACATGCCAACATAGAGTGAAAAAAATTCTGATCTGATAGTGTAAGGAGTATGTTGTCTTGCTAATAGAATAAGAATTGTATGATATAGTAGAAATATGATTGCAATAGTTTCGAAATAAAGTGAGAGGTAAACCTAATTATGATAGGAATTCACCTGCCCTGGCCAGGTAGGATGAAGAGTTGATACATCAGGAAGTGCCTCGTAAGATTAAATGTTGATTTCAGAAAGTTGAAATCATATCAGAATAATGATAGAATGTATTCATTATTTTGAATTGGAAAAGTGATATGGAACAATTTTGTTATTTTGTGGATAATATAAAATATGGTGAACGAGTGTCACCATAAGAGCGTTAAAAGATCAAAGGATGCAGTGAGAATTGGTAGAAGAGTTCAAGAATAACTGTATTAGTGGCAAGCGTATAAGATGTATAAAGTCAGAGCTTATGGGTTTGAAACGAAGGGATAGTATTATGTATAAGCAATAGTGTGTATATGATAAGGATTTACATTTAAGATGGAAAGAGTCAGCGTTGGCTAACAAGACTATGTGACGAAAAATGTATTGGAGTTATAAGATTTTAAGAGATTGTCAGGTTGTGATAACTAAATATGAAGTGAATCTGAATACAGTTGTATATTTGGATTATAGCAATGTGATATACTGAAGGAAGTGAGGATTAATATGTTTGAGTAAAGTTAAGGATTGATAAGAATAGTTTAAGAATGAATACATCAGTAATCAGTTTATGAGACAAGGGAAATTAGAATGTTAAGTTTGAACAATGGAAATCACATAGTGTATGAAATTGAATGTGAATTTGATAAGTTAAGTAAATTATGGTGGAGATAATTACGACTAAAAAGATGTATATGAATAATTCGATGAAGGTTTATGATTTAAATTAAAAGAACTGGTGATGTCAATCAGAGTTATATGATAGTAAGTGTATTAAAGTTAAAGGATTAGAAGATGAGGTCAGGGTAAGCTAACTAAGTATGGTGTGGATTGAGATAAGATTATGTATGTTGATTATGGAAATGTAATGTAGTAAAGGTGATAGAGTTGCAAGATTTGAAGGAAAGTACAAGTACAAGAAATGGTAAAGAATGAGGTTCTGTATAAGTGAAGTTGATTATAAAAGTTATGAAAGGTGATAAAGATCGGTAAACAGAGATATGTATTGAGTAATAAAATAGGGTTGTATATAATGATTGATTCATCTGGTTATAAAGTGAAAATTCGAGGACGAATTTTATTAAAAGGATGGAAGATTTGTAACATCCTAAACTATGGGTTAGTGGCTAAATCGTAAAGTTTCAGAATTTGGTGACGAAAGTAGAAGAGTGGAATAGTTCAATGATTATTTGGAAATATTACTTGAAAGATGTTAGTAATTATTAGATTAATTGAAGGGAAAAAGGGTCATTTGTAGGGAAAATAATTAAGATGGATATATATTAAACATGTGGAAGAGAAAAGGAAACAAAGTGGTTTCTAGAGTTCTTTTCATCTTTCTTCTTCCTTCACACGTGAAAACCAAGAGCTAAAGGTGAGTTTTCTGATTTTTGAGTTTCTGGTTAAATTTAAGGTTGCGTTTTGATTATTAGGTGATAATTAAGCTTAAGGAGAGCTTAAATTGTTTTGAAACAATAAAATGAAGAGAATAGAGGTAATTAATGAAAAGAGAGGAATAAGTGAAATCTTGAAAGAGGGTTCTTTAATGAGGTTTAATAGTGAATTTAACTTATCATCAATCTAATTAACATGTATGAAGTGTTAGAATTGGATTTGTAACATGTTAAAATTTGGTTATGATTCTTGAAATTCATAAGGAGGAGAGGATATGGAGGTTAAAGAAGCGATTATTGAGTAAAAATGAGTACAAGTATATGTATGAAAGTTAGGAATATTAAAGGAGGTGAAACATGAAGATTGGAGCTCAAAAGAGAGTGAATTTCGTGCTTAAGATGTAATTTTTAGGTAGTGTGCATCAATGCATCTTCAATGTGTTTCGATGCACTCTCAAATGAATGAACATCGAATGCAATTAGTGCATTGATGCATAAGGAGTGCATCGATGCACCCCATTAAAATACAAACATCGAATGTAAATTGTGTACTAATGCAGGGGTAGTGCATCGATGCACATGTAAAGGGATGCATCGATACACTGTAGAGTGTACCGATGCACTTCAATGGAAATAGAATAAATATTTATTTAAGTCTAAGAAATGATAGATTATAGTATATCAAATGGATACTGATAGTTATGATTGTGTAGACATCGATTGAAAGCAAAATTCGGATAGGTCGGCAGAGTAAGATACGCAAGGAAGAACAAGAGCTCATGAGTGTTCATTGAGACCAGGTGAGTACATGATATTAAGTGTACGTTATGTATAGGGAATTAAGACTTGCGATGAGTCTAATTCCAATATTATGTGATCAGGGGTACTGAAACATAAACATATAGTGATAACTGAAGCATAAACATATAGTGATAACTGAAGCATAAACATGTAGTGATATGGTGCTAAATGTATTGTATATGAGTAAATGCATATGTTTAATTGATTGAATTTATCTTTATATGTGACATATGTAAATGTATGTATGTATGAAAATAGGTTATGTGATCCCATGAGATGAAATATATATGTGAAAGTGATATGACTTATATCTGTTTCTACTAGAATGTTACGTGATATGCTATGTATGCTAAATGAGTGATGTGAATACATGTTCGTATAATAAGATAGATTAGATGTTATAATTGAATGAAGGGATTGTATGAGAAAATGTATGTGCGAAAATGTGTTGTATGATAGTGATCTATGAGATATTGATAATAAGTCATAAGATTACATGCATATGTAATATACGTTAAAAGATAAGAAATAATATGAATTATAAGATTATATGCATATGAGAAAAAGGTATATGTGAATTATATGAAATGGGATAAGAACTATGTGATGTGACCATGTGTGAAAAGGATGAATAATGTGAATTTCATGGAAAAATGCTACGTGAAAGTAAACTACGTGACTATGTGATCATATGAAATGTGATAAAGAGCTATGTGAAAGAACTATGTGATATGAATATGTGAATGTGTAATGAGGTAAAAGATAATGCCCATGTCACGTGTTATGAGAGATATAGGTATAGTTAGCATGCCAAGAGTCGAGGGTTCTACGTGGTCCTACGGGACATATGTCTTCTAGTGGTCCTACAGGACATATGTGTTCTACGTGGTCCTACGGGACATATTGGTCCTACGGGACAAATTCTACGCGCCCCTAGTGGGAATTATACGAGCTGTTGTGACAGCATAGTGCACAACCTCTATGTACTCACATACCTTAAGTTCTTAATAGTGTGCATGGGCTAACCAAAAAGATAACGATAAAATGTGAGTTGTAATGAGAAATGAGTTACATGTTTTATATGATGATATATGTGAATGTGTGTTATGGGTTATGGCATTTGCTATGGGATGTACATGAATATATGTTAATGAATATATATATATATATATGAATGAATATTAATGACTCATATGATGATGTAAGAACATGTTATAAGATATAGAATATGAAAATAAGAGATCATATGAACAAGAGATAAGAGATAGAAAGCATAATCATATAAGAGTATGAGAAAATCTAAATGGTGACATGCATGTGTGTATGTAATTGTTATATGAGAAAGTATGTATATCAGTATGACGTTGTATTACATGATATGTATATGCATTTGATAATTTACATATGTATTTATATGTCTCACTAAGTCTATGACTTAGCGTGTGAGTGTTTCACACGTAGGTTCAGGAAATCAGGAAGAGAAGCTAAGAGGAGCAAGATAGATTAGTTTCTCCTTACCGAAGGTCGGATCAGAACCTAAATGAATAACATGTATTTTGTTATATATAGAATCTTGTTGGCATGTAGTTAAAAGATTTGTATTAGATATGCTCTGATCAGTTTTGTAAAAACATATGTTTTATATCATAGAAAATAAATGGTTTTATTAGAAATATCAAACTGAATCTTGGGTATTTTGTAAAAGTAAATGTTTTGATAAGTCAATGTGACACCTCAGACTCGTATCCGGGTCAGGTACGGGTTAGGGGGTGTTACATCTTGAACAGAGGATGAGCACATTTTGAATCCGAGGAAACTATTTCAGAGATTAAGGAAGTATCAGCTAAAGCTCAACCCAGTCAATTGCACATTTGGAGTAACATCAGGGAAGCTCTTGGGATTCGTAGTGAGTCAAAGAGGAATTGAAATTGACCCTGATAAAGTGAAAATAATTCAAGATCTTTCTCCACCCAGACTCAGAAAGAAGTTTGAGGTTTTCTCAAGAGGCTAAACTACATATCTCGACTCATTTCTCAATTAACTAAAAAATGTGATCTGATATTCAAGTTACTCAGAAAGAATAGCCTTGAATTCAGGAATAACGAATGCCAAGAGACCTTGGACGTTGTCAAGAAATATCTATCTAACGCTTCCATCCTGGTAGAGCATGTTCCTCGGAGACCACTGATTCTCTACTTAATAGTTTTCGAGAACTCAAAGGGATATGTGTTGGGGTAACAAGACAAGTCTGGAAGAAAAGAAAGAGTCATTTACTATTTGAGCAAGAAGTTCATTGATTGCGAAACCAGATACCCACCAATCCAGAAACTGTGTTGTGCATTGGTATGGGCTTTCAAAAGGCTCAAACAGTACTTGTTGTACCATACCACCTGGTTGATATCCAAACTCGGTCTATTGAAGTACCTTATGGAATCCCCAGCTCTAACAGGAAGATTGGCTAGGTGGCAGATGTTATCAGAATACGATATTGTACATGTTAACCAGAATGTGGTAAAAGAAAGTGCCATAGCAGACTTTCTCGCAAGTCGTGCTTCAGAAGATTATGAGTCTCTGAATTTTAATTTTCCCGATGAAGACTTAATGAGTATCTTGGTTGAAGAGAATGACGTCTCAAATGATAAATCTTGGAAGCTTTACTTTGATGTAGCATCTAATGCTCTAGGACGAGGAATTACGACAGTGTTGATTTCCCCGAAAGAAGTCTATTACCCTTTCACGAGTAGGCTCGAGTTCTTCTGCACCAACGATATAGCAGAATACGAGTCATGTGCTATGAGATTAAGGGAAGCTATAGAAAGAAAAGTCAAAGTGCTTAGAGTACATGGAGATTCCTCACTAGTAGTATACCAACTCCGAGAAGAGTGGGAAACGAAAGACTCGAAATTGGTTAAGTATCAAAATTTGATCCTTTAATTAATAAAGGAGTTTAAAGAGGTGACATTCAACTATCTTGCTTGCAAAGATAACCAAATGGTCGATGCTCTAGCTACACTAGCTAACATGTTTAAAGCAAGTAAGAATATAGACATTATGTCGATTAAGAGGCAGACGTAAGATGCCCCGACATACTGCTGCAGTATAGAAGAAGAAATAGATGGTCATCCATGGTACCATGCCATCGTATAGTATATAAATAGCAAACATATCCATCATGTGCATCCTAAATTGACAAGAGGATGATCCAAAGAATGGTAGATGGATATTTCTTCGACGGTGGAGTCTTATACAGAAGAAGTAGTGACCAAGTTCTGTTAATATGTGTGATTGATAGTGAAGAAAAAAACATCATGAAAGAGGTACATGGAGGAATATGTGGGACCAACGCAAACGGTCTATCCATGTTCAGGAAAATTATGAGATATGGGTACTATTGGGCCACGATGCACATTGATTGCATTGATCATGCAAGAAGGTGCCATAAGTGTCAAATATACACATATAAGATTCATGCACCGCCATCACCCCTACACGTAATGACAGCACCATGGCATTTTTCTATGTGGGGCATGGACATTATTGGGGAAATCACGCCAAAACCATCAAATGGTTACTGTTTCGTCCTAATAGCAATTAATTACTTTACTAAATGGGTGAATATTGCTTCCTACTCCACTTCACAAGAGCTATGGTCTGCAGATTCATAAAGAGAGATAATTTGTAGATATAAATTTTCAGAAAGGATCATCACTGATAAATGCCACTAATCTGAACAACAAGATAATAGACGAGCTATGTACGTAGTTCAAGATAAAGCATGCCAACTCTACAACTTATCGCCAAAAAATGAATAGGACAATAAAAGCTACAAATAAAAACCTCAAGAAAACCATTACCAAGATCATTGATACCTATAGAGATTGGTATTAGAAGCATCATTCACTCTATACGCTTACCGAACAATAGTATAGATAGGGGCAACCCATTTCTCTTTGGTCTATGGAACAAAGGCAGTCATTTCTATTGAGGTTAAAATTTCATCACTAAGGGTCTTGAGAGAGGTAGAACTAGATGAAGCAGAGTGGGCCCAAGCTTGGTTTGATCAACTGAACCTCATCGAAGAAAAGAGATTGAAAGTTATCTGCCATGGGCAAATGTACCAGAAGCGAATGATGTGAACTCATGATAAAAGGGTTTGCCCAAGAGAATTCTGAGAGGGTGATCTAGTGCTTACAAGGATCTTACCCATTCACAAAGATTTATGTGGGAAATGGATCCTTAATTAGAAAGGTCCATACGTTATCAAAAAGGCCTTCTCCGAATGAGCGTTGATTTTGGTAGAAATGGATGGAAAAGTATTGAAGAACTCGATAAATTCAAATTATGTCAAGAAATATTACGCTTAAAAAAAGAGGTTCAAGGAGTAAGCTCGCAAAAACGTCTTGAAACCGATGGAAATATTTAAGTTGAAAACCTGAAAAGAAAGCTCAAGTGCATTGATGTTAGGCATCCGAAAATTAAACTATCTCGTAAGTTCAATATCTCGGAAGAAGCTTCACATTTGCAGACTTCTTTACAACGTTGAAATCCTTCAGAAAAAATCTCACCTCAGTGCTCAAGATTACAACAAGTTGATTGACTCAAACATGCTATTGCTAGGGATCATTACGACATTAATCCTTACTCTTAGGGTTTTACTTTTCGTCTTGTGTGATTGCCATAATTTTGTAAACTCCCAAATTTTTAATGAATTTCGGATTTATCAATTCAATTTTTAAATGCATTCGTGTTTTCTACATTTTGTATGTAGATTAACATAGCCCAATTTAAACAAAAGATTTCTTGGTATTACTTTGGTTAACCTTTCAAATGAAGAGAATCCAAAGTAGTTCACAGCTCAATAAGAAATAAAGAATGACCACAAGATAACATTTCAGAAACAACAATACCCTAAGAAAACCTAGAGGAGGGGTAAGGAGAGGACGAAATCGTTTGGTGCAAAGATGAAGCTTCAATACAAAGAACGCAACAAACATGTCAAGACTATGGGATTTACAATACCAAATGACCTCATACATGCATATAGGCATTTGCAAAATAGGAACATATACATTCATTTTTAAAAATTGTTGGATGATTGACAGGATCTCGATAGCTCAGTAAATATTATGTTTCGACGCAAGAAATTATTATAGAGAGATTAATCACATCCAACGCACAAGAGGATGGATCAACATTTCTAAGGAATGGTTCATAATAAGAAGAACTCATCCGACAAGGAGAAGTTCATAATGAAAAGAACTTGTTAAGAACTTGACACATCCTTTGCACAATGAGGTAAATAAATAAAGAATTCATAATGAGAATAACTCATCCAATGAAGGGTTTGTAATGAGAAGAACTCGTCTAGCAAGAGAGAAAAAGTTTGTAATGAGAAGAACTTGTTCTTGGTTTGATTTCATCATAGAAGAAGGTGAATCAAAATTTCTATTAGAGTGTTCATAATGAGAAGAACTCATTCGACGAGGGAGAAGAAGTTCATAACAAGAAGAGCTTATTCAAACTTTGATCGTCTATCATAGAAGGAGGTGGATCAGCATTTCCAGATCAGAAGTTCATAATGAGAAGAACTTGTTCAAACCTTGACTCATATATTACATAAGGAGTTGGATCAGGGTCACATTTTCTCGATTTCATCATAGAAAAAGATGAATCAACGTTTCCAAATAAGAGTTTGTCCCGTGAGAGTGAAGAATTCATAATAATAAGAACTTGTAGCTTAAGAATTTTAACAATTCATGATGGATAAAAATGGTTTTTTATATATTTTCTCTATTCCCGTTTATAGCAATGAACAAAGAGGGGCAGATGTAATCACCATATTTTTACCCGACCCATTTTTAATATTATTAGTATTATTATTATTACAAATAAATAAAATATTATTATTATTATTTACATACAAAACCAAACCCAAATATAAAATTAGAACACCAGAAGCCAATAAGAGGAGACTATGTGGATTAGGGTTTTGTGTTTTTCACCTAAGCCATCAAAAGTCAAAACCATTGGATCAGATCTAATCTAATGGTTTATATCAACTATAGTATTAGGGTTTCATCATTAACCCTAAATAATGTAGTAGCTACTGACATCATCACCAAAGCAAGCACCGCGGCCAAACGATTCCAGTCACCGTTTCCAGATCTGTCTCGTCACCCAACCGCGCTGATCATCGAAGCCATCTTCAGGTCGGAGCCTAGCCAAACCAAATCTCATCAGAGATCTCAACAAAACCTCGAAAAATCTAGGGCATTAAAAATGAAATCCAACTCGTGTAGAGGGAAACATTGATTTTAAGAGGAGCAAGTAGAGATTAGGTCTTATTTTTGTAAAAAAAAATGGGTATCTTATCTTTGTAAAATTCGGGTATTAAACCCCAAAAGAGAACATGTAAAAGGGATCCCTTTTTCACTCATTCTCACAAAGCAATACAAAAAAATCAAGGTAAATTTTTCTGTTCTTTTTTTTCCAGTAAGTTTCAAATAAAAAAATATTAAAAGGGGTAAAAGAGTTTACCAGAGAAGGGAGAGATTCGTGTCGTCAGGGGATTCTTTGGAGTAGTAGAAACCTAAAGGTCGGATCTTATTTTAGGGGGAATCTAGGCCTTACTTAGGGGTTTTGACTTTGGTTTGTGTCTAGGTGGGTAGATCTAGGTGTTTAAGTTTTTTTGGGTAGTTTTAGGAACTCTGGCCACCGTGAGTGGTGGTTGAAGTGGTGGTCGACGCAGTGGTGTTGGGATTTGGTAAGGTTGTCGGTTAGGAAGAGAGAATAAGAGTTGAGAGAGAGTTTAAAATTTTTTAGGTTTTCAGCTTAGAAATGAGTTCAGACAAAAAAGTGTGTTTATAATAGGAGTTTAGGGGTTAAGTTTCTTAGGTCCCCAGAAAGTTGTCGCGTATTTGCATTTTGATCACCTACAGGGACTGTTTTGATTTTAGTTTTAATCTTGTTGGTCTTATCTTGTAATTTTTGCATTTTTGTTTATTAGTTCATATTTGGCATATAAAAAAGAAAAATCATGTTTTAGTCCTCCAAAAATGTCTGTGTTTTTGCGTTTTGGTCACTAAACCTCGTTCTTTGATTTCCTTCAATTATAGCTTTCTGACTTTTGTTGTTTTCATTTTGGTCCTTTTTTGCAATTTTCTTTCTTTAATATTGATTATTTATTTCATCATATTTTAATCACTTTTTATTTATTGTTCATTTTAATTTATTTTGCTTAGGAACACTAATTGTTATTTTATTATCTAACTTCTTAAAAAAATTCAGATTGTTCGAATCATGATTTTTAATTTTGGATTTATTTAATTTAATATTTAATATTTTTTATTTTTTATTTATTCGATTCTTTTCTTTCTAATATTATATACGATACCTTTTCAATGTCTATTGACTTTTACATTAATATTTTGTATTAAATGCATGCACGTCATATATATAGGGATATTATATTCACGTATATTATTCCTTTTAATTTAGCATATCATTTATTATGGTATGAATATATTATATTCCATGTATGTGTGTTTTTATATTTAATGTATATTCAAATTATTATAATTTGTTTCACCTTCCAAGTATTATATATTGCATGATATGGTTTTATTATGGACGTAAATTTAAAAACATTTCACATAGATTAAAGACATAACATGGTTTAATAATATGTATAGCCCCTCTAACTCTGTTTTTTTATGACTAGCCCCTACTGTCTCTTGCTTTATGATTTAGTCTTAGAACAAGTTTTTTTTTACTTTAGATTAAACTTTTAGATTTAGCTTTTCTTTAATTTATTCCACAGTTAGTAAATTAGTTTTTTTTTTTTAATTTTAGCCCATAGATTTAGGTCTTTTCTCACTTTAGTCCTCAAAATTTTTTATATTTATTTGACATAATTAATTAGGTCAATTAGAGCC